TTTGAGCAGCCAGCTTCTTCAGCAGTTACCATTTGTGGGTTTCCCTTTAAGCGAAAGTATACTCAGCAACTGTTAAGTCAGCAGTCTTTCCCATACTTGTGTAGAATGCCAGCTCTTCAACACTGAACCGATAACTTCACTTAAACAGCACATATGTGAAAGCAGCAAAACAGAGTTAGCGACGTCTACATGACGGGCTTTTGCCTTTGACATCCACGAGATGGGCTTTGTTTATTTATCTGTGATAATAAATGTAGGTTTACCTCAAAACAAGAAATGTCCCACTGTTTTAAATATAGCAAAGTCCTGAAAAGCCAAAACTGTAAACAATCAAAGTTGTCTGCTCACATTTTTACAAAACTATTTCAAAGATTCTCCATATTGTTTTTCTATCCAGAACAAAGTCCTTATTGTTTTTCTCCACAGGAAATGTGGCTAAGGCTGCCCAACTCTTTTCTTTTTTATTTGCACAATGTTAAGCATCTAACCATTCACAGCATTCAAGTGAGAAAGAAAAGAGACAAGGATCTTTAAGTAAGAGAACAGCCGGTTGTGTTTTCACCCTTAATCCTGGCTGTCTGGACATGCTGTGCTTTTCATTAAACATGCCTCCAATAAAATAAAAAAAGGCAACTTGGTAAGGTTAATTTGGAGACACGTAGGTATGAGACAGAATCAGGCAAGCACATTCTTTACACAATTATTAACAAAGAAGATTGAAAGATTTAACAAATTATTCACTTGGAAAACAGATTCTCGTTTCTTTTTGCTTTCCTCGTGAACACAGAAGATTTTCTAAATTTGCAGTCGCTAAACAGTTTCTTCCTCCAAAATAAACCATTTTCAAACCACACAGTTTAATCTTAAAAGTTACAAAATAACTTTAAAGACATCAATAAGACATCATACGAGAAGAGCTCTTATTAACACTGAAATACTTCAGCTTTGGTGGAAGTGTTGGTTCAAACACTTTTGGCTCATTGGCATAAAAGTATATAAGGCATCACTTTAGTTAAGAATCTTCCAACCTGAAATAACTGCTGTAATAAAATTGTTCCCTTCAGTGCCTCATCATAAAAAAAGCTTTATTTAAGATATTTTACTTTTTCACCCCATAATTGGTAATAAACTGCATTTGCATTCAACACATTTTAAGCCAAGGAAAAGCCTGGTGTCTTTTTGCTTCTTCAAGCTGACAAAATAGCTCCCGCCATAAACAGCGTCCCAGCTTTACTGGAGGCTTAGGCATATTATTCGTGACAGATGCTTAAGTTTTAATTAGACCATAAGTCATGTAAATAGTAGTCATAAATGCAAAGGATTATAGCTGGGAAGAGATTTTTTGTTTTCAAATAAAAACGTTACATGCTGCATTCTCAGCAATAATGTTGGTTCTCTCCTGAAATGTAGACTATGTTTAAGGTAAATCAAGTGTAAAAGGCATCCACAAGAAATAAACGCTACTGGTGCTTTCCATTGGAATAGCTCACATACTTTGGCTATCGTTGGTGGAATAATTCAGTTCAGTCAGCCTGAGGAAGGGTTCGGGTGTTTATTTTTTTCCTACATCCTGTTCATTGGCAGTACTCACACCGTTTCAGTACCGTTTAGTTCTCCCTGACATCTAAAAGTCATGGAAAGGAAAATGAAAATAAACATTAAAAAAAACAAAAAAACAAATTTAATTCAGTTCAATTTATACAGCTGAACTTTGTTCAAGAATGGATGCATGCATATCAAAACATTGCAATGTAAATTATTAAAGGTTTATATTGCAATATTGGAAGATTTAATTTATGTTCATTTCAATGATTATGAGTTACAGCTGATGAAAACCCAAAGTTCACCACCAACAGTCTTACTGGAAAATGAATTATACTGCTCAAAAAAATAAAGTGAACATTTCACTTTAATTTTGTGTGTGGCTCCAAATCCAGGCCTCCATTGGTTAATACATTTGATTTCCATTGATGATTTTTGTGTGATTTTGTTGTCAGCACATTCAACTTTGTACAGAACAAAGTATTCAATGAGAATATTTCATTCATTCAGATCTAGGATATGTTATTTGAGTGTTCCCTTTATTTTTTTGAGCAGTGTATATCTTCAAGAAGGTTGGGGAAGCATTGGGAGCTAAAAGCTGGACATCTGTTCTGACTTAGGACTTACGTAAACAGGCTGGGTCATCAGCAGTAGATGGCATGGCTGCCCAAATTATTGCTGACTTCGAAAATCTGAATAATGGGTCTCAAGCAATCAATAATAAGTCATAAGAACATTGCTTTTTGGTAATAGATGTTTTTGTGAATTGTGTTGCCTCTAAATATCATATTTACCTCATTTGACTACTGTCTGCTAGTGTATTTCTGGCTACCAATACTTAAACAAATCTGCACTAAGCTACAAAGAAGGAGAAGACTTAATTGACTTCAAAGTTTCCTAAAAGAGTTTAGGTATGTCATAGTCAGACTTTAGTCAGAGCCCAGGTGGAACAAACAGACTGAAGTGAAAACTGCAAGTGAACTGTGTCCATGCAAAGCAGCCTTAAGGGGATGCCTGAAGCGGTGGCCACTGGAAAGCTATGATGGACCCTTCACTATTAAAACAAAACTCCTACGGAATTTCAAACTCTGTGCTCACACACAGAGGGAACAGACACACACACACACACACACACACACCAGCAGACAATGAAACTGGCAGCATAGAGAGCTGTAAGAGAGCTTTAACCATGCAGGAAAGTCTAGAGTGAGAGAAGAATGGAACAATGAAAACAACCGCAGCACAACTTATCCAGCTGCTAAAACTGTAGGGTCTTAGTCAACAGGAAGTCTTAGGAGACACTGAGTAATGTCTGAAGAGAGTCCAGGGAGTATCCACTATAGACTGTAGGAGAAGTAAGAGAATATCCAAATGGATATAGTGTGTGGCCCTGTATTTGATACATTGTAAGATCATTTTTCCAACAAGTACTGCTGCTCATGGGGCCCAAAGCTAAGGCCCTAAAAGAGGCACTGTTTTTGGGTTATGGGTGAGGTTCATGACTAAAGTATGAACTGAGTTTAGGTTAGGTTTAGGGTAACAGCCAGGGTTAGACTGTAAAAATAAATGGAAGTCAATGAAAAGTCCCTGCAAAGATAGGGAAACAGAATAAGAGTATGCGTGCGCGTGTGTGTGTGTGTGTGTGTGTGTGTGTACAGTGAGTTGAGAGATGTGTTCATGCATTCCAGCATGGCAAATCAATCTTGCTCCAGTGGTTCATTCTATGTGACTCACTGCTTCCAGACTGGTGTAGGTGGATACACAGGCTTCCTGCTGGAGCTATGAGAGCCAGCTGATTTTTCAACATCAGATAGATCAACTTAATTTGAACCTCTTCAAAAGTCTGAGTGTAAGCAGCTTTTATTTTTGTACATTCCATCTCTATTGCAATTAAAGGCTTGAAAATATTCATATCTTTGTAGGATCTTTCAAAGCTCTTTGGTCATAAATAAGCCTGCACAATAATCATACTAATGATATGCTGATGTGAATTCCCATACATTCTGACTCATGATACATTACATTTCCTCAATTAAATGTCAAACATCTTTATGCTAAAGAGCCAAAATAAAGCACAAATTAGTTTACATTTATTTTGTCCCCCATTAAATATATATCTACCATTTTTCAACTATAATGAGCAAGCTGGCTGTCAGTTGGGAAGCCTAATGGTGTGTTTGAAGACTGAAGTATTAATTCTAACAGTGCATAGATTTATTTGAGCATGAAATTATTTCACAGAAAATTGCATTTGTAGTAACAATATATATCAGCCCGTTTCCAGATCTACACGAGTGGCTTTGAACTGCAAGTCAACATAGGTTCAAGACTACTAGTAATTAGGAAAAGTGTACTCGAAAACTGAGAAACATAATTCTCTCCCATGACAATAAGAATGATCACTTAAATACCTTATGCATAACTTTGCAGCATGAGAAACACGTCCTGGAATCTCAAATGTGAATGTATACTCTATCAAAAAGGCCTATAGAACAAATAGAAGAGGACTTGAATTGTGCCACCACTTGTGCTTAAACTGGATGTTAATCTAGATATGCTCTGTGCCACAAAGAAGACTGGATTAACAAACACCCTTTGGCCAAAATATGTGAAATCAGGGAACCTGTCTCTAATTCAAATGATCTGCAAGTCTGCAAGATTATGGGTTTCCTAATCTGCCAATCGCTTGCTTCAGTGGGAGAAAGCCATACCAGTCACAGCAGTGGTTCAGCTGCACCAGACCCAAGTCCAGCTCAGAAATGATACTCAGATGAGATTTTTTTTTAGTATTATTATTGATTTAGTCAAAAGGTAGTGCTAAGGTAATGTTTTCCTCAGTATCCTTGTTGATGAGCAATTATAGGAGCTGGACAGGACAATGAGGGTGCATCACACTATTCATATATGGTGATGGTGGCAAGCTCCTGGATTGCAGCCACAGCTACCCTGGGACGGACTCACAGGAGCAAGGTTGCCATGAACGGGTATGACTGGGTCGTCTGAACACCACCAGCAGGCAAGATTGAAGTGTCTTGCTCAAGGACACAACAACTGAGATATATGAAGCAGAGATTCAAACAGGTTCAAACAGGTAACCCACCAATTGCAGGATAAACTCCTACCATTTTTTAAAAATGTGATGATCTCTGCTCGCTGGTGCAAACACAACCAGAGCCGTAGTGAAATAGGGACGGGGCGACCGCAGCCACGTCCTGTAGTGCAAAAAGGCCTTAAGTGAGCTGCCTAAGCAATTTTTCTTCCAATTTAATGTTCTTGAAACCGTTCAAAGTTTTCCACAGTTCAATAGAAAGATAATCCAGAATTATTTGAATTAGTTATAATGTCCTTCAAAAACTGCCTGAAAATTATTTGCAAGCATTTTGCAATAGACTATTCTCAAACATTGTTTTAATGAAAGTTAAGTCAGTCCTTGTTGCAAAACAAAATCACTTCTTCATATTTCAATACACCTTTTTAAGCATGACCTGGTCCATTAGAGTTTTGTGGTTGAGTTCTAACTCATACAACAATGATGACATTCAGGATGTTTTTATTTATTTAATTTTCTGACAGTGATTCAATAGATTTGACTTGGAGGAATCGGATTACATATGCATATGTTACTTGATCCTTTATATGTGCTATCTCATTTTGTTCCATCACATAAAACTCTAAACAAATATGTTTGTGGCCCTATGTGATAAAATGTGAACAATTGTTTAGAGACTTTTTAACTGTACTGCATTATTTCCAATTTGATTGACTGTAAGTGTGTGCCTCCAATTGGCTTGCTCTCATTGGCTGTGGTAGTTCTTACTATGCTAACAACAAAAATCTGAAATTCTGCAGGTGAAAAACAAGGGTCTTTTTTTTTTTTTTTTCCTGTACAGGCTGACATATTGGACTCATGTTATGCTGTGTCACCGTAATATAATATTTGCCTAGATGCTTTACCTCTTTGGTAGCGCTCTCATGGGCTATAATATGTGGATGTTGTGACAAGACACCACTGCAAAGCGACATTCCTTTTCACCTTGTGGCAATGATGGGCCAGTCTTAACGAGCTGCCTGCCAGTCGTCCGTCAGTGCAGCAGAGGCAGCTGGCCCCCGGGCCTTGCCCTGCTGCCCTCTGAGCATATATCAGCCTCGCGGTAGCTCACATCGCTAACACCAACACTGGCGTGCAGTGACAGCTGAATCCATCTCCCACAAGCTCTGCCTAGACCCTTGCAAATTACTACCCAACTGAAATTAATGCCAACATAACAATACTAATGAGCATGCGGCAGTAAGAGTTGATAAGGGAAAGAATGATAAACAGATGAAACAGATGTCAGCCATACAGCAGGGCTTCAGCAGGTGACAAGTGAGGTTGGGGAAAAGGGAGAATATATATTTATGTGCTGTTAAGTTTTCAAATCTGATAGGCAATTGAAAGTCACTGAATTTTTTTTTGGATAAAATAGAAAAAAAGGGGAAAAAAAAGTTGAATGCCCTAAGATTATTAGTCTAAGATGCCCTGAAATTATATAGAAAAAACAGTTTTCTTTAGATGCTAGATTGAGTCATTAGAGTCAAGATAATGTAGGACAGTTGTAAGCGATTATTTTAGTAATATTATATGATGATTACAATTTGTTTCTTGCATATCTAGCAGTGGTTTGTCTTGGCAGTGAAAAGACCTGATGCTGCTTTTTACTTTTCATCTTCATTAGCTCAGAGATCTGTACAAAAACACCGATTTCTGTCACGATACAACAAGCAACAGTGACAACTTCACCAACAAAGAAGCATAGAGTGTAAATATGCATTATTTGCATAAAACATTGCCCACACACAGTGTGCGCCTATGGAACAAATCAGAGAAGAAGACATGTGTTTGTATCAGATGAATATATCAGATATTCAATCAGTTAAAACAGTCTTCATCTTCTCCAGAAAGGATAAACCAAACAAACAGCCCTCACAAGAAGATCCTGCTTTTTTAAAGGCAGTTCATTTTAATGACATTTTGTTTTTCTTGGATGCAAAAAGGGAACATCCTAAGGTTGGAACACAACCAGTCCTTGGCTCTCGCATATCTGGGAAACATGCTTCATCGGTTATATTAACATTTTTCTGGATATGCAGAAAGAAAAACTGCTTTGTTAAACAGTCACATCTGATCCCCTCCACCTACATACATTTTCCTCACAAGTATAATTTTATCTGACACCTCAGCATTCCTATGCCTGAGAGTGAATCTCAAAAGGTCAATGTTATAAATCTTTATCATATACAAGCACGGCAGACGGTATCTAAATCTATTCATCTGGGATTTGATTTACACACAGTGTGTTTTATATTGTATTATATTAGTACTAAATGCAAATTTTGATTAGAGAAAAGGTACAAAATTAAGTTTTTTTTAAACACCTTCACACAATTTTACTTTAGTGCTTCCTTTATAAAATAAATAAATAAAAATAAATAAGAAAAAGAAGACAAAGGAACTTTTGCGCTGATTTTTGGTGGCAAAAAAAGCAAATTATGAACACCAGAAAAAGCAAAAGCTGCCCAGACTGGTCAATTTATAGATAGATACCACTGTGTTACACAGATATAAACAGCCGTTTAACTCCACTCACTTACACATATTAAGAGCACAAAAGCATTGTGAAACATGACAACCCCTCACAATCATGTCCTCCTCAAGCTCAATTATGATAAATAATCACATATCAGTTCCCATCTTTGGGTAGGAAGAAAACGAGACAAAGAAATCCCTTTACATAAACCAGCTTTTGGTCTGATATGCTGACCGCCAAGAAGATTTCACGTTATTTATATATGACTGGTAATGTCCAACCATGGTGAGTCTGTGTGAATTGTAGCCTTTGTTTCCTGTTTCAAACTGTAAGGAGTTTCACTTGGCGTAGTACTCTGCAGATGTAGCCCATTTGCTTCAAGGTTTGGCATGTTATACATTCAGATATGCTTGGGTTGCAACAAGTGGTTATTAAAGCTACTGTTGCCACCTTATCATCTGAAGGCAATCTGGCTGCTTTCATTTGACCGCTGGCATCAAGAAGGCATTTTAATACACACAACTGCTGCATACTGGATTTTTTATTTTATTTTATTTTATTTCCATTTTGCACCATTCATAAGCAGATCTGCAATTTTCAAATTACTCAGACCAGGCCATCTGGCACTGGCAACTAAGACAAAGTAATTTAGGTCCCTATTCAGCTGCTCAGCTTGGACCTCAGTACATCGTCTTCACAACATCTAAATGGCTAAATGCATTTTACTTTTCACATGCGATTGGTTGATTTTCTATTTGTGTTGTGCAATTAAAGAGGAGTACTTAATAAAGTGACCAGTGAGCCTAAAAATGCACACATCAAATGGTGTGCATTTGATGTGTGCACTCTATCCAGAACTCTATCCAAGGCTTGTTTTAATAACCTTCTTTCTAGTGAATAAACACATTTCTGTGAAGTGGTCATCCAGTGAATGGTATCCTGCACATGGCTGTAATAAATCATGAAACAAAGCTGATGTTATTTCCTCTCTGTGGATAGAGTCCTGAAGCGGTTTTTCCAAAATATTTCAGCTTAACGCAGCTCCACAATGAATAAACTTACTAATAAAAAAAGAACAAGTACAACATTTAAATCCTTTTGAATGGTCTGTATGGTAGAGACTTCCTACCATACAGACCATACCATGTGATACCAAGGGTGGATTTATGATTTTATTGATTTAATAGCCTTGATATGAACCAGTTATTTAGTGAAATGTGATTAAATTATGTAGTGCTGGTCAGTTTTTAACAGCTAGAAAATACATTTTTGGCTGCTGATGGCTGGTTCATATGGAGTGAATTTAAAATTGATGGTCAATTTTCAAAATCTGTGAGGCCACAAACATAACAATAAAATAACTTAAATGTAGTAGATTTTGTCTTATAGTGTGTGGTGTGTAGCCACACAGCAGGAGCAACAAGCCACGCAAACTGATTTCATTCAAACATTCAAATGAAAGACGGGAAATTTCACAAAAACCCTCGAGACCAAATGTGTGTCCAGAGTTCACAAACATGGCCAACTGGGAAGAAGCAAAGGTGATAGTTTGTGAACTATATTTAATAGAGAAAAATCAATATATCAGACTTGTACAACTGTCTTCCTGGTGTTGTTGTGTCTTCTGTATTTTGGATTCCCCTCTGTGTTTCTGTCACCTTGCTTTGTGATTGACTAAACGTCACATTCAACAGGGAATTTTCTTGTTTGTTCTTGGAGGAACACCCACATTTTAGATTGGGTCTGAAAACCGGGAAAACCGGGACAAAAATCAGCATAAAAATCTTGCCATGTGGACTAGAAATAACAGATAATGGCTACCAAACTTTGGTAGCAAAATTTGATCAAGAAAACATATTTTGGACTGATTACACTTGCAGTTAAACAATATATTTTTAAGTATAATATGTTTTAATGTGGCTATGGCAGTTAAATGGGTATGATATTTTATACTGACTCTTTATTGCTGTTGACACCAACATAAAGCAAAGACTATAATGAACAATTGCTTTGAGCTCAAAGCAATTGTTCTGCAATGCTTCTGTCAAAAAACAACCTCAAAGCAGATGTTTAAATGATTTTGGGGGGAAAAAAACGATTAAAGAGAGTTTATCAACACATGCAGATACTCCTTTTTGAATATTATTGTTTAACAACATCAAGT